TGACGTCTTTCATACTGATTGTGAGGCCATTATTTAAACACTGAATTATCTATGGATTTTTTCGTTTTCCTGTTCTTGACAATGAGCACGCAGTGGGAGTGATCGGTCGATAGGGGATTCTTACTCCTCAATGGCACCTGATCCCACCTCTGATGTTTTTAGAGGTCCGTGCTAGCTTGCTCTGCTCCCAATTTGTATTGTTTGAATGGACTTTTGAGCTTGATTACTGTTCGTTATCTCCAGATTTTTTTTCTTTAAAAAAGACCTCTTTTGATTGTTAGGTCAAAAGGTCAAGGTGAAAAATTCATATGTTGCATAAAATGGTTTCCTGGTGATAATCCTAGTTCTTTGAGAGGTTTTGCTATGAAATCTCATACTTTTAGTCAATATGATTTAAAAAAAAGACTTCTATTGATTTGAGGTGAAAAGGTCAAAGATCAAGGTCAAAAACTTATATATTGCATACATAGTTTTTTTTTTATTGGTAGCTTAAGTTTTCTGAAAGTATTTGCAATGACCCTTAAGGTCATGAATTTCTTTAACCTAAAAAAAGACCCCTATTGACTATAAGGCCAAAAGCTGAAAGGTCAAGATTGACTCATTTTATTTCTCCATCTGCATTTTTTTTTCCAGTTTTTCCCTCTAACCTTTCCCCTTAAACGGGGGACACACATTCCCTGTATTAGCTTTTTTTGTTAAAAACATTCTGATATTATACACAAGTACTCCAGAGTTGATATTAAAAAGATGCTCGAGTTCCTCATCGACAATATCTATGAGATCTTGAACTTTTGGTCGACATTATCTCCAACTACTACTACAAAGATATTGTCGATCAAAAATTCCCAAACATTCTTAATATTTCCTTCAGAATACCTGTTGAAAGAATCAGAATGATTTCAATAAAATTTCCTATGTGACTTATTACAAGACATGCATATTTTCTAGTGAATTTTTTTATGGAAGAAGCAGTTGTCTATATTATAAAACAGTCTCTTTCAAAATTAAATTTATGCAGAATTGTTTGTATAAAGTGAAGAGAAGTTATATTTTCATGTTCCAAATCCATGTATTCTTACTTGCAACATCGACCTTTAGAAGAAGCACGGGATCGAGACAGCCGAGTTCCAGTTAGTACGATTACAATGTGAATGGATGGTCTATATAGAGCAACATATTGATAATTCTCGTGAATCCTTATTGACTTACTCACGAAAGGTTTTGCTCGGCAGATAGTGGTTGAGGGTGTAGTATAATTCTCAGATTAAAAAAGACTTCCAATATATTTAACAGGACAAAATTTAAAATGCAGTTTTCTTCATCGACCTAAGAAGTATATAATTACCGGAAAAAAAAAAGGTGTCCAACTGTCAATGGCAATAATTTTAATTGGAAATGTTCCTTTAAGGACATACGCAATGTACCTTACCTACTGATAATTTTTCAAAATATTCTTAATTTAAGATTATAGTGCCATCAGATGTTCGTAAACAAAAATAACAGGTTGCATTACCAGGGGTTTTGAAAAGATATCAATTGATGAAAATTTTTTAATAATTCAATGATAAAAATACAAAAATTACTTAACGTATATTCTAGATGTTTTGTTTATCCAAACTTATTTTAGAAGTGTACAATAGCATATATAGACATTTAAATGTAACACAGTTCCTTTAAGTATCGGAACTCTTCAACTCCAGGGAAAAAGACAAATGAATATAGTTCAAACTACGTTGCGTATGTCCTTAAACTAGAAAGATTTTGGGATATACTACAATTAATAAAGTAGCATTACAAAAATCCATACATATCTTCCAACAACTTTCATAAAATATTATTATTCTGCATGCAATTACAATAAAACATACGATGTACATTATAATTTTCAGCTTCAACTTCAATCACAGTTAGAATACGGACTTCCAGAGTAGCCATTGGTAAGTATGGGGATTTTACAAGATAATCTACATATTCATGAAATCAAACGTTTATTCCGTGTCGAAATAGAATTTAAGGCGGAAGAGAAAGTAAGACAGTTTTTAATCAAAATTCAACCTATTTAACGCATTAAATATCTGAAAGAAATCAGACAAAAGTAATAGAAAATCGAAGTAGGCCATGTTAGTCTGTCTTTCTTTTTCTGTAACCCGTTTGTAATCCTGGATGTGACAATCTGGAATAGAGATCTAAGGTGTCCCAAGACTTAACAATCCTTAGAATGTACGATAAAATCCACTACAATGGACTCAAAGACTACAATCAGGATTCATGAAAAACTTTGTTACTTTACATGAAATTCCAAAATATCGCTCTTGCAACATCACGGCATTGTTTTTTTTTTTTAATGAGTGACAAAAGTTTGTAAGCTACCGTCTTTGCTATCGAGCATCAAGTAAAAATGGATTCAATATTACCCCCTGCGCTTTTTTATCTTTTGGGTGATAGAATTTTAAAGATAGAGCAGAATTTTATAATATACAAGGAAAAATCTACTCCTTAAGATTTTCAAATACTAGTCCATAAATGTATATAGCGATAATTCACATACTGGTATTGCAGCATATCATTGCTTCAAACGAGAGTGAATTTTAAAATATTTCAGGATTCGGCACAGTCACAAACACAGTAGTTAAAATGAATTCAGCAATATTAAAGATAATTTTCTTAAATACATTTTGTGATATCTAAAATTTATCTTTCTACAGGTGGAACTCTTCATTCCGTTGGTAATGGAACTAAAGAGGAAGATGGCAGTGATAAAGGCCTACCTAGTAAGAACAAGATTGTTTAGAACACCGTTTGAAGAGTAAACAATGTACAGATAAGCTTCGAAGTCTTTAAGGAAAAATCCTTAAAAAAAACTCAAACGCAGTATTATTCTTAAATAAAAAACACAAAAGCAAAATAACCCCGCACTTTTACTACTAACATCAAAATATCGAAGAGGCCTATGAGTATTGGCATTAATTCACCTGAGTTAGTCCATATCATTTCATCCATCTCAGAAGTAATTTCAAGGAATTTATGTCCCCGCTGAAGGATATAATTTTTTTTAGATTACAATTTGCAGCAATATACAAGTTTGTGACCTTGACCTTTAACCCTTCACCTCAAAATCCTTTATATTTTTGTAATTGACTGTATTGAAGTGAATCTGGAAGTCATATTTTTACACCATACTTTACGAACTTGTGGTCTTGACCTTTCATCAATCAATGAGAGTCATCAGATATATAAAGTTTATTGAAAAGGCTCACAAAGAACTAAAGTTATCATTTGGAAAAATATCATGCAATTATTATGTAACTATATCAATTTGTCTCATTGTTCTTTGACTCTTTGACCACAAAGTTGATATGGGTGTTTTAGATGTCATATGAAATTTCACTGCAAAAACTGAAGGGTTTTTAGATATCAACCGGCAACTTGGTTACGATTTCATAAATATGTAAATTTGTGATCGACCTTGACGTTTGAACCTCAAAATCAAGTCCTTCTTAAGTTAAAAAATTCATTACTTTAAATTCCAAAGCTCATTTCAAAAGCTCAGAGAACTAAACATCATCTGAAAACCACTTCTTCATTACTAGTATATGATTTTATGACATTTCAAGTCTGCTCAAATCATGATTCTCGGGGGTAGGGTGAGGCCTCAGGGGATCAAATTTATGCATAGAAATATATAGGAAATATAGCCTATTTAAAAATCTTCTCAAAAACAGCAAAGCCATGATTACTCATATTAATAAAAAAAACATCATCAGGCACTGTATAATCAAGTTTGTTCAAATCATGACACCCAGGTAGGGCGGACCACAACAGGGGATCAAAGTTATACATAGGAATATAAGGAAATATCTTTAAAAATCTTCTTCTCAAGAAATCAAAGCCATGATTAGGTCTACAGGCAATGTAGAATCAAGTTTGTTCACATCGTGCCCCCCCCCCCCCCCCCCGCTTTGGGGTTAGGTTGGAACCACTTTAATACACTATATATATTTAAACTTTTCAATACTGTGGTTTCTCCTTTTCTAGCCAAAGTGCTCAGATGAGCGGTGTGACTCATGGGCCTCGTTTCTTGTTCCATCGTCAAAGGTCTGCTATATCGTCCCTACCATGAACAAAAAAAAATTTGCTCGCCACCATGTTTAAGCTCTTCTTTCTGACAGAAAATTTGTAACAGCACTTCAACTTTTCTTAATGTTGTGGTTTAATTAATTCATTTTTCAGTTGAAGTGATTGCTGGTATCGCGGCGGCTGGAGCGGTGGTACTTGCCGGTCTCTGCAGTCTCTTTTTCTGTCTCTTATGGAAACGGTGGAAGAAAAAGAAGAAAGTCAAGCCCGAGCAAATATCGAAAGGGGGAGAGCTCAACCAAGAGTAAAACTGTGTCTTCTGTATAACCTCGATTAAAATCTTACAAAAGAAGAGTCATCTCTTCATTTAAAACAAACAACAATAATAAAACAAATTACTATGCAATTAGTTTATCTGAAGCAGAATGTTTGATCGTCGACATATTACTGTAGATTGGCAAATGATCACGATGGTTTTAATTTCACTATGTTCGCTATTCATGATTTTTCCGCGAAATTAAACCCACTGTAAATGCCATTATTAGTTTTTTAAAAAATGTTTAAATGCTTATACAAAATTTAAATTAATCGAAATTGGTACTTTTTGAGAAATCCTGAAATTTTAGCGTCGTGGAATTAAAACGACTTACAGTATCTCAACAGGTAACAAAGCTTAGGGCTTTGGCCTTAAATTTAACCAAACTACATACTGTACTTAATTATATTTCGAATAGTTCGGAAGTTGAGTACTAATAAATCTGTGAGTAGACAGACAGACAGAAAGTTGGGTCAATATAGTCCACACCCTAAAACTGAACTGGTGAAAGCTACGACTACTTTAAGTCTCCTTGAAATAAGTAGAAAGTGCGAAATATATTTCGATACATAAACGTTTTATGCTCCATACATTAAATAAAAAAGCTCAATTTACAGTGAAACATCAATTTAATACCAACAACTAATGTCCTTTCCCTGTTGTATTTGAAACAAAGTCACCAATCAATCATCTTCCCGTCATATGACAAAAACCGTCCCGAATTTTCTTTGGACAATTTAGATAGCACCATTAAACAAGCTTTCGCACTTTCCTCGGGTGACATGTCCGCCTCCGGTCCACCTATATCAGTTCTCACCCATCCTGGATGTAATGCAGTCACTAGAATATCCTTCTCTTTTAGTTCCTCATGGAGACTTTTGGTTATCATGTTCAGCGCAGCCTGAATTTTAAATTAACAAAGAAGTGAAAAAAAAAGTATTAAGAAAAATCAAGTCAATCTAAACATTTAAATCGGCCATGTATTTTATTTGCTAAAGAAAAGTATTCTTTTCCAAGCTAAATGCATATTATAAACTGCAATCCTTGCGGTAAAGTTTGATTACTCAGATTAATTGTGATATGAAAATAACCAAACCGGATTTTAGACAGAGTCGGTCCGACTCTGCAAAGAGCACCCAAAATTCGTCCTTAAACTTTATAAATTTACCAATATGTACCTACTCATACAATTATTACTTCAGCATTTTAAGTACTTCTGATACAAACAAAACTATTATATTAAATCAGTAACCTTAGAAGGCCGGTACCCGTACATCCCACCGGATCTGCTTTCCGTTATAGACCCAAGAATACTGGAAATGTTGACAATTGCAGCCTTGTTACAGCTCACAAGAGTGTCACGTGACTCCGCCGCTTTCAGAAGCATGGGCAACAAGGACTATAATTATAAAGAATGACAGGTATCCATGTTTATCCTTTAACTAAGATACATGTACATATTTGTATACTGTTATTTACAAGTTAATTTTAATGAATATAGCCTAGAGCTCACTTTTCCTCGATGGGTACCGAGTTTAAATTCTGCAATATACCTGGGTCACAAGTAGCGGCCCGACAGCATTGGTGGAAAACTGTTCCAGAAGGTGCTCTTTGTTAAGATTGCCGACATACTGACGTTTTCTAGTCACACCGGCATTGTTTATCAATAGATTTAGACCTTTGTTATTAAGACTAGATTCAACCTCTCTCGCTGCAGATTTGATGTCAGCCTCGCACGTTATATCTGAAGAAGAATGAGCAGTTATTACACACAGCATGTCTATGGTTTTTGCAAAGTCCAAATGTCATTTTTTTTTCAATTATATCTTTTATATATAAAGTCTTATTTAAAAAACATAGTTTATGATTTAAAGTTCGTTATTTTTATAAATGACTATGGATCTTCATATTTGTAATAAGAAAAGATATGGGTTTTGTCCTGTGCTTTGACATTCTTAAATCTCATTCGTCTAGCCGTCCGTCTATCTATCTGTCCGTCTTTCAGTCACAAACTTTGGTCATAACTTTTGAATGAGAAAAGATAGGGGTTTCATATTACATTGCATGTGACATGGCCTTTGATTTTGACCTCATGGCTTTTGAAGTTTTCAAACATTTTAACTTTGTTATTAATAACTTTGAATTGAGAAAAAGATAGTACATGTGCATTATCATGTGCATTATCTGTAAAAAAAAAAAAAAAAAAAAAAAAAAAAAAAAAAAAATCTTTCCAAGAGTACAATGGATTTGAAATCATGACCTTGATCTTGAAGTTTGACGTACATGTACTTTTCAATTTTAACTCTGGTAACAACTTTACAATAAGACAGACTTGTAAGAAAAACCTTTTGGAATGGAGTACTCCATCACCATGCAGTCCCAACTAAATAGGCCTATATATATGTTTGACAGAGATTTTTTAGCATATATATATAGGCGCTCTACTCTGTTTTCGAACCCTATATAGCCCCAAAGGTTATGGCGGTATCTTATTGTCTGACGTCATGGCGTCAGACAGTATTAGATTTAGCCAAGGCTTGTTGGTCAAGTTGTTCAATAGAATTCTTGTGATAACTTGATCTTGGAAACTTCATACTATCTAAACTATTAATACTGGCGAGCATGTGGAGTAAAGGAAACATGCTAAACACCCAAACAAGCCAGAGTATTGGAGCCGATGCCATTATTATCACATTATACATTACAGGTTACATAACATTTGGCCATTCTCGAAAATTGCATCATTTGTGTCCAGCAAAAACAGAAGGAATGAAGCTGGTCAGGTCAACACTATCAGATAAACTACTGATTGGATGTTTATTTTCAATGCATGCACTATATCCCTCTACCTTTAGAATTTTTATAAATCTACACATATTCATAACTAGCAGACGTTTGATTTATTCATAGTTTAAAAAAAATATCAAAGTGAAGGATAAATGTTGAATATTCTTTTGCTTTAAATTAATTGCAAAGATATTAGCTCATTTGAAACACGTTTATTATTTTTAATAAGACATTTCTTAATTATCAAAATTGTTCACCAATTGATGTTTAGATTTTTATGTGTTGTAACTTTTTCTTTCAAAAGCACTGGTTATATCTTTCTATTCATTAACAGGCCCGTTGGAATAAATTTCAGAAAATTTCAGTTTCGGGTGGGCACAATCAAGGAAAAAATCCTTATCGGGCATAAAGAAATTATCCAAAGTTAATATTTACATAATTCAGGGGACACAAGCATAAAGTACCTATGTATAAATCCTCGAAATTATTGAGCTCACGGTCCCCGACCCCCCCCCCCCCCCCGGTTCCTACGTCCATGAAAAAGAAGAATTTAAAAATAATATAATGTATATAGAATCACGTCTCTGATAGAATAAACGCATGTCCAAGTTTCTGAATTGAACTTTTCTTGTTTCTTAGTGCTAATTCATTTCATGACTCAGAGTACTAGTCATGTTGGTTACACTGGATTTAACTTTTCTTGATTCTTCGGGTAAAAATAAATTTGCTCAAGTCAGACAAGCTTTTTAGGAAAGCTAATACTTGTAGACTTATAGGAACAGTTTTAACGTGAACACAGCTATGTATCTCAATCAAGTTAGTATATCTGGATTTTTATCAATAATTTAAAAACATAGATATTCTCTGTATATATCATTCTATGGAGTGCGCCAGTGCGGTTACCTAGAGAAATAAATATTTATTGATAAAAGTTAAGACCTATATAGATAAACCTGCAAGATGTAATATTTTTGCCGCGAAATTTTTCCCCACCGCTGGCTTATCCACTTACCTAACTTTAAGACTTGAACACAAGCGTTTTGGTCTTCTAGCTTTCTTAATTCCTAAAAAGAAAGTATTTTTAATTAAAAGTACATAATGTCAACTTCACCACGATGCAAGTTTAATTAGTTTTTGTTCATGTCAACGACACGGGCACTGGAAGTTAATGTAAATATTGAGTATGTGCATGTGCATACTCAATATTTACAATTAACTTCCAGTGTTGTGACTTACGACGGCATTTTCAGGATCACGACATGTTGCAAACAGTTGTTGAGGAGGATTGTCCAATCTCAGGAATTGTCTAACAAATTCAAGTCCCAGTCCTTTGTTTGCGCCTGTGATGAATACTGCTCGTGGGCAAATCATAATAAACAGAGGAAATTCGAAAAGACGGTTTATTCTTGGTCATGATAATAAATTAGAGTTATCTGTCTTGTTCTGAGTAAGCTCTAAGGCACAATCTTTCTTTGAGATATTTTGATTTTAACTATAAATGTAAATAAATGCACGTCAATATAAAAAAATAAATTAGTTAAAAGATAGATAAATAAATAAATAAAAATAATAATATTAATATAAGATAAATAAACAAGAAGTTTGTAAGCGAATGCTCACTAGTAACACCGCCGCTCTAATGTGAATATACACTCTCATGTTGACATCGAATTCATACAAAAAAGAATCCCACCATATGGCATGCCTAAACAAAGATTGTGCTAAAATTTCAAGCATCAGCGCCGAGTAGTTGCTGAGAAAACTGTGACGGAAATTTGTTACGGACAGACGCATCATTATTGGATAAACAGGAAATTGACATCGGATTCAAACGAAAATGTATCCCACCATATGGTATGCCTAAAGAAAGACTGTGCTAAAATTTCAAGCATCAGTGATGAGTATTTGCTGAAAAAACTGCGACGAAAATTTGTTACAGACAGACACAAGGATAAAGAGGAAGTTGACATCGGCTTCGAACAAAAATGAATCCAACCATATGGCATGCCTAAAGAAAGATTGTGCAAAAATTTCAAGCATCAGTGATGAGTAGTTGCTGAGAAAACTGCGACGAAAATTTGTTACAGACAGACGCAAGGATAAAGAGGAAGTTGGCATCGGCTTCGAACGACAATGATTCCCACCATATGGCATTCCTAAATAAAGATTGTGCGAAAATTTCAAGCATCTGTGATGAGTAGTTGCTGAGAAAACTGCGACGAAAGTTTGTTACGGACAGACACACGGATAAACAGGATGTTGACATCAGATTCAAACAGAAATGAATCCAACCATATGACATGCCTAAACAAAGATTGTGCTTAAATTTCAAGCATCTGTGATTAATAGTTGCTGAGAAAACTGCGACGAAAATTTGTTACGGACAGACGCAAGGATAAAGAGGAAGTTGACATCGGATTTCAACAAAAATGAATCCCACCATATGGCATGCCTAAACAAAGACTGTGCTAAAATTTCAAGCATCTGTGGTGAGAAGTTGCTGAGAAAACTGCGACAATAATTTGTTACGGACAGACACACGGACACACAGCTAGACACACAAGGGTAAAACAGTATACCCCCCTCTCCTTCGAAGCGGGGGTATAATAAAAAAACAAACTATAAAAAAAAAAAAAAGAAAAAAGAAACTTTAAGATAAAAAGTCGTCAGAATGACGTTCCTTTGCAAGTGACAGATCTAGAGACAAAGAAAATAATACAGTCATGTAAATTATTTTCAGAATCTTTAAATTTCGTAAAACTGAAACTGTCGTGTAAAAATGTTTCAAATATAATGAGCATCAGTTAAGTCGGACATTCAATTTTTATTTTCATCTTAATTATACCTTATAAACATAAACAAACATTCAAACAAAACAATTACCTTACATGCATATAAACATGTTGGAAACTTGCTGCAGAAAATTAGTTGGCAGATCACAGAGCTAACCTATACATGTACATATGCAAAGTGTGCGCTGTTTTTGGACTTATTTTCCTAAAACGACCTCACTCATAGTACTTAATGTCAAAAGCTTATTTTACTCAGAAATTCTTTAAATTGCCCTCTTCAGCCACGGAAGAAAATACCGTATAGCGGGTTATTTTAGCGGGTGGTAATTTTGGCTTATTTCGGCATTTTGATAATAGCCCGCTAAAATTTTAATCGCTAAAATATTCAGTACTCTTCTTTGTCTTCATCTGCAAAGAGTGTCCGCTAAAATAAATTACGCCAAAATTATTGGCATACCTTTGAGCAGTCAAAACGCCAAATTTTACACCCGCCAAGAAAACACGCTATACGGTATGCATTAAATTCTTGCCGATCCACCATCGCCGTTATAACTTGCAAACAAAATCATTCTTCTTCACTTTCCAAGGTTTATGAAGGCGTTTAAAAGAATTTTAGCAGAATTGGGTAGCTACTAGCTAACATGTATGTACTTCCGTTATTTGAAAAAGGTGACGTATCAGTATTACCAAATTATAGACCTGTATCATTATTAAGCTGTGTAGGTAAAATTATGGAGTGTGTTATTTTTAAACATGTTTACAATTATTTTCACTCAACAAGGGTCCTTTTTTATATAAATATCAGGCCGGTTTTTCATCAGGTCATTTAATTGTTTATCAGCCCACTGAGACATACGATTACATAGCTCAAGCTATAGAAACACTGTTGTATGGTTTTTGTGATTTGTCTAAGGCATCTTATCGGATATGGCATACTGGTCTTCTTTTTAAGCCACAAACGTATGGTGTTAGTTTAAGTTATTACTATGGTTCATAGTTATTTAGTTTTTTTTATTAAGAACACAAAGGGTATTGCATAGGAACACAATGTCTAATATACATATACTCTACAATGTACCTTTCCCACTGATAATTTTCCAAGATATTCTTAGTTTAAATCATAGTATCATCAGACTTTCTTATACAAAAACAAAACCAAAACAAACAAACAAAAACAAACAAAAACAAACAAACAAATCAACAACAACAAAAACAAAAACAAAAAAACAAGATGTGTTTGTGAAACACTGGTGCCCCCGTATGGCAACTTATAGCAAAGGTTAAACTTTCTCAAATGCAAATCAAATAGTTAGTACCCAAAGTAAGGTCTTGTGTCGAGGAATATACCTGTGAAATATGAGGGCCCTAGCACCAACTATTGAATAGATATGGAAAAGGTTCAAGTTTTTCCAAAAGTAAGTCCAACATCCAGGTCAAGGTCAAATGGTCAAAATTAATGGTGCTTAAGGAAAGGCCTTCTCACAAGAAATATACAGGTGAAATATGAATGCTGAAGCACCAATCGTTCAAAAGTTATGACCAAGGTTTACGTTTATCAAAAGAAGGTCAAACTCCAAGGTCAAGGTCAATGGTTTACAATTGTTGGTATCCAAAGGAAGGTCTTGTCACAAGGATTATATATGTGAAGTATGAAAGCCCTAGCACCAACGGTTCAATAGATATGGCCAAGGTTAAAGTTTTCCAAAAGTAGGTCAAACTCCAAGGTCAAGGTCAAAGGGTCAAAGTTGTTGGTATCCGAAGGAAGGTCTTGTCACAAGGATTACATATATGAAGTATGAAAGCCATACCTTAACCTTTCACAAGTTATGGCCAAGGTTAAAGTTTTTCAAAAGTGGGTCAAACTCCAAGGTCAAGGTCAAAGGGTCAAAGTTGTTGGTATCCAAAGAAAGGACTTGTCACAAGGATAACATATGTGAAGTATGAAAGCCCTAGCTGCAACGGTTCAAAAGTTATGGCCAAGGTAAAAGTTTTTCAAAAGTAGGTCAAATTCCAAGATCAAGGTCAAAGAGTCAAAGTTGTTGGTATCCAAAGGAAGGTCTTGTCACAAGGATTACATATGTGAAGTATGAAAGTCTTAGCACCAAACATTCAAAAGTTATGGCCAATGTTTAAGTTTTTCAAAAGTAGGTCAAACTCCAAGGTCAAGGTCAAAGGGTCAAAATTGTTGGTATCCAAAGAAAGGTCTTGTCACAAGAATTACACATGTGAAGTATGAAAGCCCTAGCACCAATTGTTCAAAAGTTATGGCCAAGGTTAAAGTTGGGTAAAATTTTGCAAAACTGGGTCAAACTCCAAGGTCAAGGTCAAATATGGTGGTACCCAAAGAAAGGTCTTGTCACAAGAAATACACATGTGAAATATGAAAGCCATAGCTCCAACCAATCAAAAGTTATGGGCAATGTTAAAGTTTTTGCGGACAAACAGACAGACAGACGGACGGACAGGGCAAAAACTATATACCCCCGAATCTTCGATACGGGGGCATAAAAAAAAGCATACAATTCCAAGAGTTTTGAACAGAAATCAAATGATGAAAATCCTCGTGTTTTTAAAAGGTAAAAATAAAAAAAAAAAGATATATATAAGTTTTAGCTGGTATTTCCTACAAGTTTGATTCAGAGGAGATTTAACATTTTCAGGCATCATAAAATCGCACAAAGGTCCTTCTATTATTGGAACTCAAATTATACAAGGAATAAGAAATCAAATTTTAAAACTAAATTGCGTATGTCCTTAAACCTTTACATGTTGGAGTCCCTCAAGGGTTATATAATATATATGTCAATGATTGCTAAAAATATGTCGAGTTTATCAGGTTGCTGTTGATAACTCTTTGTAGAATTGTTCTGGTTATATACATGATATCTATTTAGGATTTAATAATGATTTACATCAACTTGAACGATGGTCTAAACAGTAGATAGTGAATTTAATCCTTCGAATACCATTTGAAGCTATCTTTTTTGCTCAAACCAAACCGAAAGAATTCCTTATAGACAAGTAAAGTAACATCTATAGGAAGAAAATGTCTTTAGAATTTTTGGGTATCAAGAAACATGGCAGGTACACATGTATGTATTATGGAAATAAATATTTGAGATAACCAAACTCTCCTGTGTTTGCCTGACGCCATGAGCGTCAGACAGGTTAAAAATCAAATTTTCCATGATGCGAAACTAACGATTGAAAGTTAGCCAGGTAAGTGTTGTGCAAGCAGATTTACATCGGAATTTGTTACCAGCGTTTTTAACAACAAGCTTATCTTTTAAAAAGATTGGTGAGCTAGCGCTGTAGCATAATAAAATACAGAGGAAGATATCTGAACAATTTGTTAAATTTGCTGAATCGATTAATTATTAATAGGAAGGCAGATTGGTGCACTGGGGGTTGAGTTGGGGGGGGGGGGTCACAATTCAGAATGGTGAATCTAAGAGTGTGCTTCACGTCGGCAATGACATAACTCCTAACTGTGCTTTAAGCATTCTGTATTTTACTGTAATTTCAATTTCGAGGTGAAAAATAAAAGGTCAGTAGAACCAATGAGCACCTTCGGGCCTTTCCGGCAAGCTCGGAAAA